AAAAAAATGAACATAAAAACACAAAGCCCCTGGACTACAACATAAAACTAGACCGTCCAGTCAAACCAGATTCACTCCCTACTAGGGAGTGAGGGAGAGAGGGCTCCCCAACCCCCAGCAGTAACCAGGGGATGTTCATACCACCAGAGTTCTCCCCTCTGCCTGTCCTAGCTGAGTTCCTACTCCCACAGCCTCCTACCTGGGCTTAAGAAGGGCTAAGCCCTGCCCCTTCCTGTCAGCTGGTTTTACTGGTTGCCTTGGCAACCAGCACCTGTGCAGCCCTGATGACTGGCAGCTGAGCCTCCCCCTTCCTACTACTAGGGGTCTCTCCTGAGCTGTATCCGCTTTCAGGCGCAGGGCACCTGAGTGCACTGCAACAAGCTGCCTGCCCTAAAGAGTTTTCACTCTAAATAGACAGGACTGGGGAAAGAAAGGCTACACAATTTTTACAGATAGTGAAATAAGGCACAAAGAAAGTAAGTGTCTTGCTAAAGATCATAAAAGAAGTCTGTAACATGACTAGAACCTTATCTCTAAAGTGTGACTCTACTTGCGTTAGCCACACAGTCAATAGGGGTGAGCAAAACGGGCCATATTCTATTCAAATTCAGATTCGGCCTGAATTGGGGACAGTGATTTGATTGTTGATTCGGATCACTGTCCCTGATTCGGTTCGGCTGAATCCAAATCTGAAGATTCAATGCTGATTTGGAGGGTCAGTTTGCCCATAGACACAGCTTTAAATGTTTTTTCTACATACCTCGAGGTACCAGGTGTGGCTCATGAATGCGGCGATGCTGGGGTGGATGGAGCATCCCACAGGAGCATGAGGGCCCCCCACGTGCTTGGTGACTAACCCAGAAGTGAACCAGAAGTACTTCTGGTCCACTTCCAGGTCTGCCACTGAGCATGCTGGGGGGCCCCCCGCACCACCACAGCTCAGCGAGTGGCTGTAAGGGGCCCCCAGATCCCACCCAGCCAATCTGCCACCCCAAGGTGGCAGACGGCCCCCCCTGTATGCTCTCTGGCTGACCCAGAAATGGACCAGAAGTGCTTTTGGTCCACATCCGGGTCTGCTGCTGAACATGCTGGGGACCCCCTCCCGTGGTCCCATGGGACACTCCATCCGCCCCAGCATCTCAGCATTCATGAGCTGCCTGGTACCTTGAGTTATGTAGAAAAAAAACACTTAAAGCTGTGTCTATGTCTGAATCACCAAATCTTTCTGAATCTCTCCAAATTGATACGGAGAGATTAAAGGGTCTCATGATTCAATTCAGATTCAGAGATTCAGCCACCAAATCAGGCTGAATCTCTGCCAAATGGAATCACAGACCAAAGCTTCGCACAGCCCTAACAGCCAATTTCTCTCATAAGTAGAGCTCCGTTTTTATATGATGTTTCACTACAAAAAGTTCAGCTTAAAACACCTAAAAGAAAATTACATAAAAACTGCTCTACTTATTTATAATCAGCATTTCTGCATTACCACCAAATATTTTATTTCTTTAGAAGTTTGCAGATGTATACAAGATGCACAATATTTTAAAGAAAGCATATGGTTGTCATGCTCACAATCTTACTCATGCCAACAATTTCCTCAGTTAGTACTTTGCTGAATCATCAGCTGGCTCAATTAGACTGGTTCTGATATTAATTTAGGTGGTAATGAAATAAAGATGAAGATATGAAGTATTCATCAAAACATATACTAAGAGAAAGCTTTTTTTTTGCTTTTTTTTTTTTTTTTTTTTACAGTGACCTTTATCTTGGGGTTGTCTATGCCCTCTCCTCCAAACAACTAAGAAAACTATTTGATACTTCATTAGTGCTTCATACTAGTGCAGGTAAGAGGCATGACATATTTCACAGCAGCATAGACCAAGAAAAAAATGGATCATTTCACTCTTAGTAATTGTTGTAAGTGACAAAATGGAGGAGGCAACAGGAAAAAACATCTTGGTAATTTTTCTGTAATAAGTAAAAGTTCTCCAAAGTCACCTGTTGAGTCAGATTGCCTAAACTGAAGGAGGTTTCACATGATGGTTTCTCAGTTATTCAAAGATACTTGTGATAACAGCTAATGTTTTCTCTACAATGTTTTACTTGTATTTATTTCCCGCACTATCACAAAAACTTGCATTTTTGCACACTGCACCATGCATGCAAATAAAATTGCTGCATTTCCTCACCTTACTTACGACCCTCATCCAAGATGAGGGCTTATTTCAGCATGAGGGAAAAAGCCCCTCATCTTAGATCAAGAACAAGGAGGGAGGAAAGAGCAGGCAGCTGCAGTGGCTGCTACAACTCTGACTCTGGCCTTGAGCCTGAGTTAGGGTCAGAGTCAGAGCCACAGCAGCTGCTTACACCCTCCCCTACTCTTATTGTGAAGTGCAGCTCTGGATCCATCCTGGGGACAGAGCACATGGACACTGTCCCCTGTCTGGCCAATCACCAGGATAGCAGCTCCTTGGGACTTCCATGTGCTCTGTGTCCTGGAAGGGAATGAAGCCATAGCCACATATGACAGTAGTTGGAGGAGTGGGAGTAAGGAGGCAAAGGCTGTGGGAAGTAGAAAATGCTGAAGGGGGCAGAGGGTGTGGAAGGAGCACAGAGGCTGAGGGGGAGAAAGGAGGGGGGGCAGGGACAAGAAGTGTGGGGGAAGATGGCAAGGGGGCTGGCCACACCCTGCCATCTACTGCTCTGCTACTTCTTTCCCCCACCAATAGGGGGGAAAGCAATAGGGGGATACATTTACGATGACCTTTCAAGAATTAGATTCTACCCCTGTAAAACTATAACAAATCCCGACCACCAGGATCTGGAGGAACGTTTGTTCACCAGAGTGCCCCAAGGGATGATGAGGTCGAACAGTCATAAACTACTGCAAGACCATTTCAGGCTGGACATAAGGAAGAATTTCTTTACTGTCCGAGCCCCCAAGGTCTGGAACAGCCTGCCATTGGAGGTTGTTCAAGCACCTACATTGAACACCTTCAAGAGCAAATTGGATGCTTATCTTGCTGGGATCCTACGACCCCAGCTGACTTCCTGCCCTAATGGGGCTGGACTGGATGATCTTCCGAGGTCCCTTCCAGCCGTAATGTCTATGAAATATGAAAACAAATTTATACATTTTCCATATGTAGAATCTAATTACTGGGGGGTTGTCTTAACTTGAAAGCTGTTTTAGATTCAATAAATATGATAGATATACATTAGTCAAGCTTTTTTAGCTTAAATTCCAGAGGAATTACACCAATCAGAATGGAAAATGTTAGGCGCACATGCCTAAGCATCATACCAAGGCACTCATAATTAAAACAGCATACAATAATCATTACATACATCTTTTTATTCTCCTGTAGGACAAAATCAATTAAACATGACCAGGCGTTAATTCATGTTGCGCATGTTTTCATTCCAGCACATTACTCTACATGAGATCACCAAAAACAAACTCAGACTCTAAGCTGCGTTAAAATCCATATACAAGTACTCCAAACATAAAAAAGCCTCCTGCAAAGCATCAGTATAAAGATCCATTTACCAGACAGCTGAAGTCTACTTTAGGGAGACTATATGCTGTAATCGTAACTATAGAAAACACAGGCAAAACTATAGAAAACACCTGCAAAAAAAAAAAAAGTGTACTGCTCAAGTCCACCGCTAGTAAAGAATGTGTGTACATAGCCAGAAGCAGCAGGGTTTCCAGAGAAACTGACCTTTACCCTAAAAGAAAAAAAAAAAAAAAGCCAAAACCTATGCAGAATATTTACCAAAAAATCTCTCAGGACCTAGAGAGATACCACGAGCTCTCTCTCTCTAATACACAAAACTAGCCTTTCATGGTGAAACAAAGATATGAGGTTATCAGCTTTCACAAGTACAGAACTGACACATGTTCCCAAATATATGGCCCTATTCAGAGAACTGCCTTTTCCTTCCTGTCAGTTCTGGCTTGCAAGACATTACAGAAATTATATCCGCCTTGCGCCAGAACACTCAGATGTTTTTCACCTTATTACTGGGCATGGAATATTAAACAGCCTTTTGGGAGATGGCAATACACTGAAAGAGGAACACATGGGCATGTCTGCACGAGCTGGTTTACTGTGTAGCAAACTAAATTACTGTGTACTAAGCATCACCATCTATACACAGAGACCCTTAACTGCACAGTAATTTGCTCTACTCAGGAGTTAATTTGCTACCTGCAAATTCAAGTAGCAAATTAACTGGCAAGTGATTACTATGCATTAAGATACATGTAGATGTCTGACTTGGAGCAAATTTGCTTCTGGTCAGCTGGGCAGGAAATTGCTCCTTGCCCCCAGAAGCTGCCTGCTCCCAAAGTGGGGTCTGCCACTGGAGTCAAGCGGGGACAATGTCCCCTTGCACTGCCAACAGGGAGCTCCCTATCCTTGCTCTGCAATCACCAAGCGGAGGCAGGGAGCAATCTCCCAGGCACTGCTCTGTAATCACGGAGCTAGGGCAGGGAACTCCCTGCATGGGAACAGTTCCCCACCCTGCCTGGTGCTGGCTGGGACTTGCCCCAGGCAAAAACAGTTCCCAGCCAGCACAAGGCTGTTTGGGGAAGTTTGCATGTGCAACCTGGATCTGGCTGGGGACTGTTCCATTTCAGGTAGTTCTCAGCTAGCTCCAGGAAATGCTCAACTATAATCAAGTTCGGCACTCTCAGCACCCATTTTATGCCTAAACATGTAACAAATACTTTATGGCAAAGCCAGCACAGGCCCCTAGTAGAAACAAATTGTAGGCTGAACTCCTTTTAACAGCTTATGTTAAGCCAATGATAACCTTCTTCTGTGTGGATAGCTACTCTGATTTTTCATCAGTGGTGGCAATCCCTTGGTAAGAGGATGACAGTGTTCCACTCAACAGAGAACTCATTGATGAGTCCAGAAATGACTGAAGAGGCCAATCCAAGATCCACATGTTCACCTGCAGACATGGCAAATAGTTCCAGGAGGAAGTAGTGGATCCTGATGACATCAGGTCACAGCTCTTTCCTTTTGTCCTTCTTATCCATCTGCCTCCATAGTGATACAAGTTTTCTTGAAATGATCAATGCCTTGTCATAGATAACAGTGCCAGTAGGAATAATTTAGTGCTTGAGTCTCCCAGGTATTCATGTTAATATTACATTTCTTCAGATTGGCTTTTGAGAGGTCCTGAATCTCTTCTTTTGCCCACCTCTAGAGCAGTGACCATTGGTATGCTGGTGGTATAGGACCTGTTTGGGGGCCTATTGTCAGACATCCTTATGAAATGTCTTCTTCAATGGAGTTGGTCCTGTATAAACATTACTTCAATTTTGGTGGTATTTCCTTAAGCCAGAATGCTAGAGTTCATTCTTCTGTCCTTCCTATGTCCTGAAATGGAGAATTTTCTGAAGATATTACTGATAGTAACATTCCACGGCTTTCAAGTATTTCAAATATGTCATCCAAGTTTCATATTTATGCAACAGGGTAGGAACAATAAAAGCCTGGTCATGAGAAGTTTGGTTTGGGTTCTGATGTCATTATCAAAGACATGATTTCAAAGATGTTCAAAGGCACCACTGGCAGATTTTATCCAGTCTTGAATATTGTCATCTATGTTTACTTCTTGGGAAAAGTAGCTATCCAAAGAGGAGAAATGCTCAACATTCTTCAAGGATGATCCTCCAAGTGTAATTTGTGGAAGAGCAGCTGATTGGTTTGGGGTAGGCTAGTAAAGTATCTTGATGTTCATTAAGTTGGTGCTGATCTAAGTATTTCATATGCTTCACAGAAGCAATCAAGAATGACTTGAAACTCTTCAATTGAATGAGCATGCACAACATAATCATCAGCATATTGATGACATACTGGAGGTGTTGGTTACCTTGGATTTGGAACATAACCAACTGATGTTAAAGAGATTTCCATCCATGCAATACTGGATGCTGACTCCAGATGGTAGTCTATCAGCAACAAGGTGCAGAATAGCTGTAGTATAAATGGAATAAAGGCAAGCAAGGTTGTTTGAGTAGATGTGATATTTTTATTACACAAACTGAGTAGTTGGAAAAAAGTTCTTGGCAAGCTTTCGGACTCAGTCTCTTTTCTTCAGCCATAGGGAGTCTCTGCTGGTGTGAGACTAAGGAATGAGAGAAGCTAAAAGTGTGGCAGGGTGTCAGTGAAAATGTAAATAAGGTAGAAATTAGAAAGACAAAAGGTAAAGCAAGTAAGGGAGGGGGAAAAAAGCAGGAGGGAAAAAGCCAAAGGGAGACATTACAGTGATAGAATATAAGGTAGAAAAGAGTCAACTCAAATAACCTTGCCTGCCTATGTCCTTAGACCAACATGGCTACAACAAAAAACCCAGCATAAATGGAAGAAAAAATTCTTGTTTTATTCTAATACTGAAAAGGGCCACTTCCAAGCCATTACTTAGGACAATTATGTTGTCATGAAGAAGTCTGATTATGGCAACAAATATTGGTGAGCATCCAAATCTCATCAAGATATTTCACTGGAGTTGGCTTTTGGATGAATCAAGAGTTTTAGATCAATGAAGGCTATGAAAAGATATCTTTGTTGCTTGCAGCACTTCCTCTACGGCTGTCTAGCAATAAATGATCATATGCACCTCTGAGTAGGCTGAAATTGTACCTCTGAGGGATGTGAAAGCACACTGGGACTCAGCAAGGAGAGTGAATCTATTGATGAGAATGTGGACAAGAATTTTCACAGCTATTAACAGGAGTGCAATACCACAGTAATTGCTACAGCCTGATCTATCTCTTTTCTGAATATAGTTATAATTTTAGCATCTCTCAAGTCACCAGGAAGTCTCTCTGCTCTCTCTTGCTTTGTTCTCCCACCAATAGTTCTTTGACTGTTGAATCTTCCCCTGGTTCTGAGCTTTAATGTGGTGATAAATGCCTTGTTTCTTTTTTGGGGTTCACATCATTCTTCCAAACCTTGAAGGTTCTCCTTTTCCTGTCAATAAAAGCTTGAAGTTCCCTATCATTCCCATCAATCCAGTCTTGATGTTCCATTGTAGAGAAGCTCTGAGATTCATGGATGCCTTTCTTGAGATTCTCCCACTGATCAATGGTGTTAAGATCATCAGGAAGGTCAGAGTTTCTCATGAGGGCACTGCTGTAGATAATCACTTTTAGCAGGGTCCATCAAGCACTCAATGTTGAGCCTCTTATTTTGTTTACATAATTTGGAGGCAGTATGATTGAACATAATGGAATGTATTAAATGATGATCTGTTCAGCAGACATCTGCACTGATTGTAGTTTTGGCGATACAGACATCGCAATGGTCCCAGGGCACATACTCTGACCTAGTCAATCAGGTGCTTTTGTTTTGAGCAGGGATGCATTCATAATGTCTTCCATTTGTTACTTGGTCAGAATAGGGAGTTTGTGGTGATGAGATCATGCTCCTAACACTTGCTCAAGAGAAGAATTCCATTTGAATTGACTTTCTCCAACCCTTCCTTTCCATAGCTCAGACTCTGCACCCACTCTAGCATTGAAAATCACCAAGAAGAATTTACTTCTCTTCTTTGGGGACAGATGACCAGGGATCCTGGTTTTCTCTGATAAAAATCCCCAACTTTCTGGTTATAAAAAATAATCCAAAAGCCACATTTTTCTGCGATTAAAGTGAAACACCACTAATACATAAGTATGTATATAGTGATGTTTCATTTTGATCATGGAAAAATGTGGATTTTAGGTTACTTTTTAACCCCAAGATTGGGGATTGCTTTTATCAGAGAAAACCAGGATCCCTGAAGATGACAAGACTTGGTCAAGTTCAGAAAATAATTCTCTCTCTGTTTTGTTAGCTTCATTAAGGATCAGGGCATATGCACTGATGACTGTTGCATGTTTCCTGTTGATCAGTGAAACATGAAGATGAGGTGCTTGCTGATGCCTACTGGACATTCCAGCATCTTGAGTAACAATCTTGGTCTTGACAGTAAATCCAACACCATGGATATATCCATCTTTTCCTTTCCAAAAACAGGTGGTGTAGCCACCACCATGCTCTGTGAGCTGCCTCTCTCCTGAATATTTGGTCTCACTGAGTTCAGCAATGTCTATAACAAATTGTGCAAGTTCTCTGACCATAAGTACTGTCCTTTCCTCTAGCTGGTCACTATTAAGGTTGAAGACATCTCAGGTTGCAAACTTCATTACTTCATTTGGACCACAGATAGAGTTATTTCACTGGATGCAGTTTTCCAGTCAGGTGAAATGAGACTGACGAGGTTTAAGGCACCTTTTCTAGCCCCCTCTTTATACAGGGTGAGAGGCACTGAAATCAAGGGATGTAGTGGTCATGGGCGATTTTAAT